TGAAAAATAATTGGCATGCGGGTAGAGTACTGGCTCTATTGTTTGTCGAAATGCTAAATAAGCCTTACACAAGCACAAAAAGATATTGCCACCTCAGGTTTTAACAAATGTGGAATTTAAAAATTTGGACTGAAAACATTATTATACCTATTTAAAACATTATTTCCAAAATATGCATGTCTGCTTTCTCTGTAGTGCTCCCAATCAACAGCTGCTCTTGACGATCATTTATAACATGCCCTCTATTTGCTTCCAGATATTTATTCTCCCCTATCAACACTAGAAAAATATCATGCTTTTCCATGTCTCCTTTGAAACAGAATATGAAGTGGCAGAGAGCATGGGTCTTTGGACATTGTTTAAAGGCAAAGTATGAAATTATTAGTTCAGTCTCTAATGTCATAACCATTTGTGGTTACAGATGTAATTGCACTAGACTTTTGAACAAACTCTGCAGCAGTTTCCATTGATATTTACATTTGCATATTTAGCGGATGCTTTTATCCAAACGAGGAATACAACAAGCAATTCATCTTAAGGAGACAACACAAGAAGTGCAATACAATGTTTTAAACATCATGCATAATAATACAAGCTAGAACAGCAGGATGCAGTTAAGTGCTCACAGAAGAGAAAAGTTTATATTTACATTTTACATTGACATGTCCTACTTGTGTAAATCACTTTAACCTGAGGAAAATACATTCTTTGGTTTCTCATTTAAAAACTAAACAGCAGCAAATGGAATTGGAGTTACAGGAAGAGGAATCCACTGAGAAGATATTGAAAGGTATATACTTCGCTTTTCAAGTAAAAAAATTTAGATGTTATATGAATACAATTATAATTGCTATACAATAAAATGGAATTTAAAAGCCACTGTAAATTTTATAGTTAAATGGTGCACAGCACTGGTAAACACATTCTTCATACTCAACAGGTCAGCATGTCAAAGTTTTCAATTAGATAACTTCACAGACGATGATGGTGAAAACAATCAAGTCAACAACAATGGAAAAAAATGTAATGACGTTGACGATTGTGTCGGAGTCTCACAGGCTTTATGATGTTGATGTGGAAGTGGGTTAGTACTGTCTGGGCAGTTGCTATCATAGGTTTCTGTTGATGAACTGATCAAATCTGTTCTCTAACAGAAACTTCAAAGCACAGCTGCCCTTTGCATGCCGCATACTGAGTGTGGGCAGCAACTAATGGATGTTCCACTAATCAACCCTGCATGTCGCCGGGCCAGTTAGATCCCCCTCAAATGTCTATAGAGTCCGTGAGACACCGTTCTCATCATACACCGCTCCATCTGTGTAATTGCTTCCTTGAGAGATTACATTCCCGCCAGTGACAGCACCAATTAGGCAGTCAGGAGGAAAATACGACAATAAGGCCCTACTTAGCAGAGAAAAGTAGTATTCAGATAGATATCAGCATAATCTTAATGAGTCAACAAACATGACATTTAGACATGCTCTCACGCAAATGTTTGAGTTTGACCCACAGATGCGAAAGACCTGTTTTCATTCAAGCCTGGTACTCTGTAACCTTGAAGGGGGGGAAAAATCTGGCAAAGTTACAGATATGAGATTAAAGTTGCAAGAATTAAAATCTGAGTAATTTATGAAAGGGGTTTGACAAAAATAGGCTATGGTTTGTCCTTTTAAGGAATGCCTCACGCCTCTGATGTCAGGATCTCAATTGCGTGGTCATCACTGATGCAGACTACAAACCCTTAAACCACACCTACACTGCGACATCAGGTTGGACTTACTCACATGTTGCTATCATTAACAATCAGACAGGAGAGAATCCCTGTCTCTGTGTCTCTTGTCTGAGAGTCCATCACAAAAGGATTTAACTCCTCGACCACAAACTGTAACTCAGCTGTTTCCACATAGCATTATCCTCAGCTTAGGTAAGTACAATACCTTGTAAAATGTATTTCATATTACAATTTTACATTATCGTTTTAGATTTGTTTTATTTTAATGTATTTTTTTAAAGGTTTTCCTTCCCGGTGGTTTAGTGGTAAATTATACTAAATACCAATGTAAGAGAAAAACATGTATAACTGCAATTAGGATTGTAGAGGAGAAACTTAGTGTTTTCATTTTCTTTCAAATGTTACTGGGTCTAGCAAAAAAAAATAAAAAATACGGACGTTATGAAAAAAAAAACTGCTTTACTATTTTGAGATATTTTCTCCTCAGACTTATCTGTTAAGATGTACCGTGGGCTAGTGTTACTGTTCTTGGTTTTGGTGCTGGAAACCCGATGGAGTGAATCGAGATGTCAGCAGTCAGAGTCTCATAGATCAATTTCAGGTGTAAGTGACAGATTATGATCATCTAAAAAGTATAAATGTATAGTTTTGCCCGAGCTGTATAATAAAAACTTAATTTCATGCACAGGAGAATCCAAGCTTTCGGCTGTCGGCTCATAACTTGCTGAAGAGGTATAATGACATAGATTATGACAGTTTCGTCGGATTAATGGGGCGCAGGAACGTCGGTGAGTGAACAGATATTTTTGTTGTTGTTGTTGTTGTAATTATATATAAATTTTACTTCAGTTTCCTACTGAAACATGTTTTTAAAATGTTTTGCGAATGCATCCCCCCCCCCCCCCCCCCCCCAAAAAAAAAAAAAAACCCCACC